TGGAATGGATGAGGGCTAACAAGCTTGAAACTTAATCCCAACCAAATCTCCTCTTCTCCATTTTATCCTCACAGCAACCCTGTGAGGTAGATTAAGCTGAGTGTGTGCAACTGACCCGAGGTCACCCAGCCTAAGGAACTGAATGGCACTACTACAGGGAATATGTGAATGATGACCACAAGGTACCGTATTAATTTATTTGTTAAAAATGTATCGCCCGCCTTCTCCTTTCCCTAAAGCTCAAGGCAACTTACAACTCCAAATTTAAAACATATAAAATACAATAGAGCCCCATTAACAGCCCTAGCAAATAAAAGGGTCTTGCAGTGTTCCCTCTAAGCTGAGTTAGTGTGAGCCAGCTCACAGTTTTTTAGCCCCTGGCTCACACATTTTTGTCTTCACTCAGGAAGGATGGCTCCACAGCAAACTAATTTATGCAGTATCCAAATCGCTGGCTCGCAACTTTAATGCCAGTAGCTCTCAAAGTAGAATTTTTGCTCAAAAGACTCAACAGCTTAGAGGGAACATTACTTGCAGCAATCCTTTAACCCTGTTCAGAATACCTCTGTGGAGAGCCTGCTCCATGGGGTGAGAGCTATAGCAGATACAGGCTCTGGTCAATGACAGGTGGGCTAATTTGAACAGGGGATCCCTTTCTGTGGTACATTACTACAGAGACTACAGAAAATATGTTTTGGGTATGTCCACAACCCCCTCCTCCTATTGTGTGTTCAGGTTCCTAGAGAAGCTTAGCCTATATGAGATTTGTTTTTCTTCTTCTTCTTCTTCCCTCCTTCCTCCATTCTCTCACACAATGGTGTCAGAACAGCCCCACTTAATTTGGACACTCCTTTGCTGCTTAGAAAGGTTTGGCCCGGATAAACCTTAAGAACTCTATAATGTCCTTTTTTACAGAGTCACTTTTTGACTGGATCAACTCTATTTGCCATTCACTACATGGAACTCTTCACACATCATGTTAAAATACTTGATCGGTGAAGTACATTGGCAGTTGTTCTTTCATTTTATAGAATTGTTAAATTCGTGTCCAAGTCAATCGTGTTAGGTCAGTGTGGAACAACAGCTGACAGACGGGGAGAAATGAACCCACCCTCCTTTATCCATTGATTGGACTTCATTGTGGGAAACAAAGCAGAGTTAGACTCATTCATCACAGGGCAACTCCCAGTTTTGGCCTAGCAGATCTAAGGGAACCAGTATGTTTTCATTAGTAAAAGAGCTCATTTGTATGGAGGCAATTCTTACATGTCTTTTTTATGTCCAGGTGATGGCAGTTTAAATTTACAACACACCTGGTGCACTGCATATCCATTCAGGAGGTTAATACTAACAACCACTTTCAGTTCAAACAGAGGAATAAGGCTGGCTGTAGCTTATATCAAGATGCTATGCAGGATCACACCATGTGGTCTCACATAATAATCATCCACTGGCTCCATTCTTTCCTTTGCTGACATTCAGGCCCATAGCTACAATGGGGTATTTCAGGGCCACAAACCCTGAATCATCAGCCATGCACCACCCATCATGCCCCTACCCCAGCCGTGCTCAATCCCAGCCATGGCCAAGGGAAGGGACAGCAAACATACGATGTGACAGGCAGGCCTCTCTGGCATCATGTGACCCATGCCACTCCCAACAAAGGCTCCAGGGAATTTGTATGGGGGAGAGAGCTGCTTATATGGAGCCAACCACCACTGCTGACTTTGAGTCCAGCTTCTGTTCGTGGCTCAGCCACCACCTTCTGACCACACACAACTCCCCATAGCTACAATGGGGTATTTCAGGGCCACAAACCCTGAATCATCAGCCATGCACCACCCATCATGCCCCTACCCCAGCCGTGCTCAATCCCAGCCATGGCCAAGGGAAGGGACAGCAAACATACGATGTGACAGGCAGGCCTCTCTGGCATCATGTGACCCATGCCACTCCCAACAAAGGCTCCAGGGAATTTGTATGGGGGAGAGAGCTGCTTATATGGAGCCAACCACCACTGCTGACTTTGAGTCCAGCTTCTGTTCGTGTGCAGTTTAAATTTACAACACACCTGGTGCGCTGCATATCCATTCACGAGGTTAACACTAACAACCACTTTCAGTTCAGAGGAATAAGGCTGGCTGTAGCTTATATCAAGATGCTATGCAGGATCACACCATGTGGTCTCACATAATACTCATCTACTGGCTCCATTCTTTTCTTTGCTGACTTTCAGGCCCATAGCTACAATGGGGTATTTCAGGATGTTGGGTATTTGCATGTTGAAAACACTCAATGTGTGTATAGGGTTAAATGTCTGTTCTGTTGTTACAGGAAATCACCTGTCTTTGTGTTAGCCAGTGTTAGCTCAAGTCTGTTAGCCCGCGAAAAGCATCCCTGTTCTAAGAGTTTGATTGGGAGCAAGGTATTAGTAACTTTGCATTTTATGGCCCCTCTTCCGCTCTTTGTTTGCCTTGGAGGAGAAGCACGTTGGAGGGCCATCTTCTTCCAGTTCTTCTAGTCTAGAGAGGATGTAGCTGATTTAGCTCTCTGTTATTTTCTCCCAAGTTTACCCTTCCCTATGGTAGAATTGTAGTAAACTTTTATATTTTTAAACACACATGGACTCTGGGTCTGATTATTGAACTCTGGCATCACTAAGCTGTTTTTTTAACTCTGCTGAATTTCTTAAAAACTCCAACACAGGGCCACAAACCCTGAATCATCAGCCATGCACCACCCATCATGCCCCTACCCCAGCCGTGCTCAATCCCAGCCATGGCCAAGGGAAGGGACAGCAAACATACAATGTGACAGGCAGGCGTCTCTGGCATCATGTGACCCATGCCACTCCCAACAAAGGCTCCAGGGAATTTCATGTGCCTGAATGAGGTGGATTTGTATGGGGGAGAGAGCTGCTTTTATGGATCCAACCGCCACCGCTGACTTTGAGTCCAGCTTCTGTTCGTGGCTCAGCCACCACCTTCTGACCACACACAACTCGGCTTGCAATGAACAGGCTCTGTCTTCCCCATGGAAGGGGGGCTCTGGCAGGAGTAATTCCTTTACTGCCTCGTGCCTCCCAAGGGGCAAGCCAAGCCCGTTGGCTCCCTCCCCCTCACTCGCTTCCATTCCTGCCATTCTTGTCAAGGGCTGCTACTTCATTCTCTGTCCAACTTCCATGATTGAAATGGGAAGTCAGAGAGCTTCAGGCAGCATGCACACAGGGCTATTGGGGAGCGGGAAAGCCACACCTGAGCCAAGAGCTTTCCTGCCAGCCCTTGGGAAGGAGGGGGACAGCATAGCTAGCACCCTACACACACACGGGGAAGGGCCAGCACTGTGAATGGGGTGCAGGACTTGGTGGAGAGGAGGCTTCAAGCCCTTGCCCCCCACCCCCGAACTAAACCCCACAGCAGACCCACCCTGCCTCTAGCAGGCAGGGCCTGCAGAACTGAGAGCGCACCAGCTGGCTCATGGCCCATTTAATGTAGCAAACTGTGTGAACTGTCATTAATTAAATTAAATGTAACTTAATTAACCTTGATTTAATGAACTTCCCCCTAAGGAATTTAAATGCCCCCTGTCCCAAAAAGAATCCTGGCTACGGGCCTGCTGACATCCCTATAAAGCCACACAGACTAAGGCCCATTACCAAGCCACACAGACTAAGGCCCATTACCAATGTGCCATTTCCTGGCTCACAGTTAAAACAAATATTTGGAGAGGACAGCTAAAAATGGCCACCAATATGGCCACCACTCATTCACTGTCACTTTGCAGATCTTTTCCATTAATCCTTGAAGGCTGTGCTTTTTCCTTCTCCGGCAGAGGAACACATATCACCAAAGAAGATGCTGAAAAGGCCTTGTTGATTTGGAGTGAAATTCAAAAAGCTCTGAAATAAGGCTCTGGTGCTCTTTCTGCACTCTCCTTTTAATCCATGTCGTCCAAGCAATTCTGCACTAAAATCGATTTCAACCTTTTTTTAATCCAAGATTTTTTTCCTGTTCTGCACTAAAACCAAATTCAACCTTCTTTTTATTCCGGGTTTTCCTTCTGTTCTGCATTATACTACCTCCCTTCACTGGCCAGCCCAGTTCCAGCCTGCTGTTGCCCCGGGTTATATGGATGCTGTTTTGCCGTGGACTTAAATTGTATCGACTTGAACACTGAGAAAATTCAGAGTGGCAGGCAAACATGGAAAGGACCATTGTCTGTATAAAGCTGGGGGGGGGGTTGGAGTCAAAGAGGAGCTCTTGGGTAATGAACCTCCAGTGGGGGAGCATGCCAATGGATTTGGGATTCTTGTCTTTTGCTTGGACTCTTGTGGATCCTTACAGACCAACCATTTTAAATTCTAGCATAAGGGTTTGTGGACTAGAGGCCATGTCATCAGATGCAGAGGTGGGACTTATCTCATGGGCTATAGTCCTTGGAACCCCTGATTTGGATGGCCCAGGGTAGCTTGATTTTGTCAAATCTTGGACGCTAAGCAGGTTCTGTCCTGGATAGTACTTGAATGGGAGACCACCAAGGAAGTCCAGGGTCACTATGCAGAGGCAGGCAATGGCAAACCACCTTTGCTTGTCTCATGCCTTGAAATCCCTGCTGGGACTTGACAGCACTTTCCACCACCACCAGTCCTTGGAAGCTCAAGGTAGAATAGAACACACTTGTCTTTAAAACATTACAAGGCTCCTCTTTTATCTCTGGTGCAACAGACTAACATGGTTACCCCTGTGGGATTTTCTGCAGGAAGCTAAGCCTAGATACCATTTTGTCATTTCAGGATGTAATCTACTATGGCTGACTAGTGCTCGGTGAATTGTTTTCCTTTTAACTCCGTGTTACAATCTGAAGAAGCACTTCCAATGATAGTTATATTGTGACCATATTAATAAGTGGTGATGGAGGTGAGAGGCCAAAGACCTGAGAGCAATTTCCACACTCTCCAGGCAAACAAGCCATGTGGTTACAAAGCAACATCATTTGAAGGTCTATAGTAGCTTGACAATCTTGAGCCAGTGTACGTTTTTCCTGGTTGTCAAGAAAGAGCATGTTAAAAGTGCCTGGATTTAAAAAAAACAACCCAATTTTAAACAGTTGTACAACATAGGTATGCAGAATAGCATTGCCAGGATCTGCCCATACCTGCTATGTTCTTCTGGAAAAGACTGTTCAACATCTACGGAGAGTAAGGCCATAGCCGATACTGCCTCTGTCTCCTCTCTCTCCTGTTTCTGAGTCTCAGCCAGCTTACAGCTAACTGGCACAACATAAGGCTCCACAGACTTCCAGTACTTACCTAAAGAAAATACATAATAATTTATGAGAAATTTTTAGCTAGCATGGTGGCATACGCCTAGTAAGTTTCGATCCAATGCAAGAGTGGCTAGAAGTGTCTGAGCCATTGTGAGTGGGATTTCAAATGGCTTGCGATGAGGTCTGTTGCTGGATCCCATGGTGCCAAGTTGGAAAGTGTTCTCTTTCCAAGGTCTATGTCACAGCCTCCCTGAGAAATTCATAAACTGAAAGAATGGCATACCATTTAATGAACTCTGAGTATTTGAGAGGCAGCAGGGCCGTCATTTCTTTCTGCACAGTGAGAGCTCACTGCAGCAGTATTTGCAAAATCGGAGAGTGTAAGACTAGCTGGTACATTTCATACAATCCCAAAGAGGAAAATCAGAGATGACTGTAACAGGAGCAGGAGTGAGGACCGCCAGAAGAGAGTCTACATAGTGATGTTGCCAGAACCATCAGGTTTTGTTGGTCCTGGATGTTCTTTCGCCTCTAACCTCAGGGTGTGTGCTAGCACAATAATTTATTTTTTATATATATATACATACAAATGTGCTGGCTGATGTTGGAGCACAGCCATGTATAGTAGGAAAACTCAGAACAAGGTAGGCAAGGGAATATTGGCTCATTCAATAGTGTGTGGACTTACACAAAAATAGAAAGAGAATTTTCAGCCACTTGGTTGCAGCAACAGAGGAAGCATTTGGAAAGTGAAGCGGGGTATCTGGGTGATGGCAAAACAATCACTCACAAGTGTAACATCATGAAAGAACTGAGGTCAATCAGTGGCAAAGAAATCCATGAACACAATCACTTCTCGGCCTTTTGACTAAGATCAAGTGAAGAAATCCGTGAACAGACCAGAATGCCTGCATGTGTTTTTCCTGGTCCCACAACTTTTTAAGTGCTTTCTGATCTCCAGATGGATGGCACCTGGGATTTAGAAGAGAGCACTGAAGTTTTGGAAGGCCAACAGGCATGTCAGTAGCTGGAATAACACAGGTTACATTCGAGTGTATATCCAGGAACTAGCAGATGGTCCCCAGTTATAGTTATTGTGGCAAGGGGACACGTTTCTCGGAAGTCCAAATAATCCTCACCCTCTGGGGGAAATTGCTATGAACCAGAAGAATCAAATTGTGATCCTGTCTCTTAAACAACCCATCTAATTCAGCAAGAGGGTTGAATCCACCAAATGGCATGGGTTGGGATAAATGCTCCTTCTAAGCTGTGGAGTCTTGTGAGCAAAAATTCTACTTTGTGAGCTACTGGCATTAAAGTTGTGAGCAAGTGATTTGGCTGCTATTAGTTTGCTCTGGAGTCATCCTTCCTGAGCTAGGACAAAAATGTGTGAGCCAGAGGCTAAAAAACTGTGAGCTAGCTCACACTAACTCAGCTTAGAGGGAACACTGGTTGGGAACCTAAAGGACTGTAAACGAAGCATGGATAGGCTCTTTTTGCCACCTTCCCACATGCCATTATGCCCCAGTGTCCCCCCCCCAAAGAACCACTCCTTAACACCAGGGGATCCTCTGATGGGTGAAGGGGGCAGCAGAGACAAGGCTGGGGCACAAAGGGATGCAGACAGAAGGCGGGTGGGAAGAAACTGCTCCTCAACTCGTTCAAGAGTTTAGAATCCACCTATTTATAAAGGACACCTTAGCAGAGAGGACCACCATGGAAAGACCTAAAAAAAATTAAATTGTTGCACTGGTTCAAAAGTGGAGCCAACTTCAGAATGCAAATGTTTTGTGTTTGAAATGTAACTTCATGCAGCAGAGCTGGGTTTTACCATCCTAGGCTGAAACTGAGTTTTCAGCATTGTTTTTCTTCACATACTAAATGTCCTCTATTACTATGTGATTCAGTATGTGCCACACAAAACAAATATGGTAAAATCACCCTCTGGTACTTCAAGAACATCCAAATGTGGCCCTATGGCCTGCTTGTGGGTCTTGGGAAGCTAGGCAGATTCACTTTGCCAAGCCATTCCCTAAGCCTAGATTGACAAACAGATACCAATTCTCTAATAGTCCAAGAACATCTAAGCAGAGCTACCCCCTTCTAAGTCCATTGAAATCAATGGAACCTGGACTTCCGGTCAACGGAACAGCGATGGCGGACGCTCTCCTCACAACTAAGGAGGGCGAATCACACACCAGCGGCCTGGAGAGGTGCCATCTTTGTGATAGGCTCCAGGCCACGGGGCTTTTGAGTGGTAGCCTCTTCAATGGCGTAATACCGGAGAATTGAGGCTTCCCTCCACCCCAAGGGTCCAGTCGCTGAGTGGCCTTTGGGCATAAGCTGGACTGACCGGGACAAGTGCTGGAGATCGAGCGGAATGGCGTAAAACCGAGCGTGGTCAGATAAACTGGCCAACAATGAACGTGAGTTCTGAATAAAAACGGAGTAGTTTGAAAAGTGATTTTCCCCCCCCTGTGATTGGAAACAGAGATTGCAAAGAGGGACGCCTGTTTTGCGAATGAGTGGTTAAGACACGAAGGGGGAGAGGGGAGGAAGTAAACCGAAAGTGTTTTGAGAGACTTATCTGAATTGCAAAGTCATTTGGCAAGTTTTCCGAGCTGTGGGGAAGCAGCAGAAACTGTAAACAAAATGGGAAAGATGGTGGCCCAGCAGAGAAAGTTTAAAATGAAGCCGGGCGGGCAGAGTCCGAGACCGGAAGAGGGAGCAGATGTCCTCAAACTCCTGGTGGATATGCTCAAGCCGGTGATGGAACAACTCGATGGTAACATGATTCTCAGGTTTCAGGGGGTTCTTGAAATGGATTGGGAAGACTTGAAGAGGGTGCTCAGTGAGATCATCGCTCCAGTAGTAGGCTTAACAGTGGATGAACTGGTAAATGAAATGGAGACAGCCTATAGAGCTTACTCCAACTATATTAAAAAAAATAGCCTACCTGGAGAAATAGTGGTCAAGTTTTCAAGAAGACAAACCAGCGATGCCATTTTAAAAGCAACATCAACAACTACACTGAAAATGGGAAATGTAACCATTAAAACTTTAAAGGACATTCCATTTGAAATTAGACAAAAGAGGAAAAATTACAAGGAACTAATTTCTTTTCTTCAAACGAACGGAATATCGTATAGATGGGCAGTTCCGGAAAGTGTCATCTTTAAGATCAACGATAGAAGAGAGAAGATAGACTCCACTTTTAAAGCTAAAGAATTTTTGAAACGTCAGCTGGGGACAGATGATGAGTCTAAAGAGGGAGAATCGAAGTCGAGTGACTCTGCTACCTCGGGAACGGAAGATGATTCTGCCACAGAAAAGGGTGCAGGACCTGCCAAAGTGGTATATGATCTTAGAGACAGAGAGCCGAAGTAATGGCAGAAGGACTTGAAAAATGGCCTTTTGAAGCAAAGAATAAGAAGATGATCAGAGACTTCTCTCATGACAACTAACAAAATAACATACAAGAAGTGAATTGTTATAAGCAAGAACTCAACAAGTATATTGTGATAATAAAACTAATGGTACTAACATATTTACTAGCAGTGAAAAGATCTCCTCTCTTGGGGTTTTAGTCTAGTGTGGTTTGCTTTTCTTTATCCCTAGTTGTAGTCCCTCCCCTATATTTCTTTGTAGTTTGTAGTATATGCAAAATAAAAAATATCCCTATGGGGATTTAAAAGAAAGAAAGAAATCAATGGAATCTAAAGAGTGTTTCCCTCATTGTGATTGGTCCATGAAGCAAATAAAAAGCAAGAGATTTGTACTAGGATTTCGGCAGCAAACATGAGAGCTGGGATAAACTGTGCATTTATGGTGTAGCTGAAAGGGTTCAGTAGGCAGGAGGAAAACTAAGCTGGATGTAAATGGTTTCACTTATAATTTGGGATACAGCTTGAATCCTTTCCAGCCGTGGGATTTCTTTTATGAACAAATGGAATTGGTATTGTCAGTAGAAGTCACAAAACTGAGGAGTAAAAGGACAGTGTGCTTAATCAATGGGTAGCATGATAGGATGGTGGGTTCTTTGACATGCAGCCCCATGACCATGTGAGTTGTTAGCAGGATCCTTATGTAACAGAGAATTTTAGGGGGATAAAGTCTGAAGTATATTAGATATCTAAAAAGTTAAGATTAAGTGATAGAATCTTGGCTTTTCTCCAAAGGTATAAAATCCATGACTAAAAACTGTATATAAAGCATGAAACAATTGCTGGGTCTGGCAAATTCTTTAAAAATGCACACAAAGGAAGACAAACATTCTCTATTTAATGGCACATTTAGAGACTATAATCTCTATTCATTAAAACAAAACAAAAAATTAATAAAAAGGTTAATATAGGCATTCCACAGTGTTCCCACAGAATGTTCATGCAACAGTCAGACTATGCAATGAACAAGCAATTCAAAACCCATTATTTATGGGTTTCAATGTTCACCAAGTGGGTGGGGGGTTTGCTAGAAAAACAGATGTGCAAGAAAACCAGATCTGCTGGCATAGGAATAAGACTTCACTTGGCTGTAAAAGAAATGAACCCGTGTTCGCTGCTGGAGTTTTTCAAGGGTGTTCATAAAATAAAGTAACAGCAACTCAGACGCAGGAGTCTACCTTCCTGTGTGTACCACTTTGGATCATGGCCCTTCTCCCCTCCTCCCTAATAGATTAAACCAACTGATTACCTGCAAACGGTTCTAAATACAGAACTTATACTGTTTCTACACGGGGTTAGTTTCAAAGGTGCCTTACTGGAAGGTGGAAGAGAAACTTTGGATCTAATCCCAGGTTTGGACCAACCATTCCAGTAGTTATAGGACAGACATATCCCAATACTTTGCTGCCTAAAGCAGAAAGCCCAAATGGCAGCCCTGTTCATGGGCTGTATCCACATGGCACTGGATATGAGACTATTGTTATGCTATAGCAATCATGTGTAAATGGATTACTCTGTGTGGACAAGCCAATCCTGTTATGGACAATTACTATAGCCAATGAAATCAAATGGCTTAGACTTGCAAACTTACGCACAGGATTGCATTCAATATTTTATATAAGGGTGTATTACAAACACATGCAAGTAGCCATATGTGAGTTGTGTTGTCAAAATAATGGAAAAGTCACATTGTGCAAAATCAATAGATTATATAACCTGCTGTCAGCATATCTGTGAACCTTTGTAGATAATACTTGATACATTGTTGGGTTCTACCCAACCCCTAGTTAGTGAGCATGGAAGAACGGGGCAGCTGGAAAAAAAACCAATTGGATTGTGCCTGGGGTGAAATGCTTTACACTTCAGGATCAGTGCAAAATTTTTCATTCACAGAGGATAATTCATGGTTCTGCACTCTGTACAGGCTCAAAGCTGGCTGGCAAGGGAGGGAAGGAGGAAGGATAAATGAGTATGTGACCCCTCCCAAATGCAGATGACCGTGGCCAAAGGAGGACAAAAGGCAGCCAGAGTCACCCCTAAGTCATAGAGCTCTAGGAGGCCAAAGTCAAGAGTGGATCTTTAGGCAGACATGAAGATACTAATAGTTTGCTGGAGGGGTAGGCTGAGGCAGATAATAAAATCCAGGGGTCATTTCATAGAAAAAGAGCTAGGGGAACTCATTAGCATGCCGGTGGGTGGGTGAGGAAGCCCCGCCAAGGCCCTCCCTGGCCCCAGGCAGGCAGGGGTGGGGAGAGGTGGGGAGGAAGCAACTCCCTCTTCTCCTGCCTCCTCCTGGCTGAATGAGGGCCGGAAGCGGGGTGGCCGGAAGCAGGGGGCGGGGCTTCATCATGTGCCCCGCCCCCCGCACCTCACCCGGGGGAACTGTGTTCCCCCGCGTTCCCCCCCGAAATGATCTCTGATAAAATCCCTGAGCATATTAAGGGTTATCTCTCCTTCCCATTTTTCACATCAACAAGGAGGAAACAGCTATGAGTACATGGTCCTCAGGAAGCCAGGGATGACTCTGAGTGCTGATACAAAGGTAATGGGTGATTTCTAAATGCTTACAAAAATCAAGAATTAAGTAGCCTATCTCTTATTATCATCTGTAGGGATATGTAAGAATCGGGGATTAGAGGATTTTTATCACTCTTTCTTTTTGCTTGCTCTGTTAATTGTGTTTGCAGATGTAGTGTGATTTTTAGCTTCCTATTAAATTCTTTTATTTTTAATGCTGGCAGTCTGATCTCTGTGACCCAGGTTAAGCCCCTGGTCAGGCCATGCATACTGGGAGCAGAAAGGACCCTAGTGTGCTCAACCAAGTAGTTCCCTTGGTAGTGAGGGAGAAAGGAGAGGGAGGGCAAAGCACCAGAGGGGGGCTGAGCTCAAACCTTCTGGCAGAGTGAATCCCTAAAAACTGGTTTGATGGTGGTAGTTATTCAGAGAGGGGGGGAGGACTGGGGGAAGAGGATCCTGGTCGGGCTTGAGACCCAGAATGGCTAAATAACTTTCTCACTCCTGTGCTGGGCAGAAAAAAGTACTTGTGAGCTCAGTTTTCCTATATTATCATATGAACATCCCCATGAGCTCTTCAGATTTATGGGATTGCATGTACACTTCCATGTTCATCAGTCTTCCAAAACTGTTTCCTTCTTAAGATCTAACCTTACATTTTGAAGAACAAGCAAATCATGAAACATACTGTGGATTTCGGTGGTCTTCTGCAAAGAAAACATTGCATTCACATTAGGAGACCGGTGAAGAACCTCTTCGGGGAGGGGCTCCAGCTACAAGAAGAGAGAAAAAAAAATCAAGTACAAAATAGTAAGAATTTACAATAAGCCACATGGAAGCACAACATGCTGGAAAAGCTGAATCCTCGTGACAGGCTCAGCCAGAGAAGCAACTAGCAAGTTGTTGGGATCCCTCCCACTAAATGGACAGGGTACAGTTTTGCTTTCTGTTTTTCAGCCATGTAATTGAATTCCAAGGGGTCTTTCCAGTGACTGCAAGACTAATCTATGGAGTCTCTCAAGCAGGTGCATGTCTGTGTATTAGTCATTTAAAAATGCTAGTTATTTGGGTAATGTTTGTAAGGCTCCTCACAAATCAAATTCCATTGTGTCTATACGTGCAGCTGTATGCTGAAATAACACTTTGCAGAAGTTGCCTTAGAAATAAAGGGGGCATTCCATCATATATTTTTTTACCATCCTTTAACTTACCCATCATTCACAGCAGGGAAAATTAAAAATTAGAAATAATCACACGTATACTATATTCCACAGATCCTATAATAATGTATGAGCACATACAAAATTGTATGTACCAAAGAAATATTATTGCTGGATATTGACCATTATCCTCAAAAGTGTCCTGACATTTCATTGATGTAGATTTCCACAGAAAGTGTTTTTTGGGGTTTTGGCCCCTATATCATTATTTGTTCATCCTCATATACCTGAGGAGCTGACAATGGCTAGATCCATGTGTCATTACAGATTGTGCTATTCAATCACTTCCTAGATTTTTCTTTCCAGATGGAAAAATCCAAGAGATGAATGATTACAACAGCACAATATCCAATGACATATGGATCCTACCACTGTGACCAGACACACAGTAACCCACATTCATTCAGGAATTTAATAATCTTCCGCAGATTTTATTCCCAGGACTGTAGGAATTAGGGATGGGCATGAACCACATTTTTGTGGTTTGGTTCATGGTTTGTGGCCGAACCATGAACCAAAGAACAAACTGATACACTGGTTCACTAACTGAACCAGTTCGCATTGGTTCACGAGCCATTTAAATTTTAAATCCCTGTTTCTGCTCCCTGAGGCTTTTCACTGGGAGTAGAAAGCAGGGATTTCCAAACAGCCAAGCCACTCAGCTGTTTTGTTTAAATGGCTCTGAGCTATTTAAACCCTGCTTTCTACTCCCAGTGAAAAGCCTCAGGGAGCAGAAAGCAGGGGTTTACAAACAGCTCTCTTGTAGCTTTTCACAGGGAGCACAAAGCAGGAGTTTAAATGGCTCTGAGCCATTTAAACCAAACTCAGCTCAGCTGTTTTTCATGCACCGCCATGAACCACCGCTAACTGCATCAAAATTAATGGACGTTCATGGTTGTTCTTCGGTTCATGAACATCGCTTCATGAACCATGAACCAGCCAGAATTCATGATGAATTCATCAGCTGGTTCATACCCATCGCTAGTAGGAATACAAATAAGGATTTGCTTAGTGTATGCTGCTGTATGCCATAAAGGGCTTTAAAGGTCAATACCAACACCTCGCATTGAGCCCAGAAGCAAGCTGCAAGACAGTGTAGATAAAACAAGACTGGAGTGATATGGTCCCTACAACCCATTCCAGTTATATTCTGACTGCAGCATTCTGTACCAACTGTAGCTTTCCAGTCTTCAAGGGCAATCCCATGTAGAGTGCATTGCAGTAACTAATCTAGATGTTACCATGGCATGCACCACAGTAGTAAAATCTTTTCTGCCTAGGAAGGGCTGCAGCTGGCTTACCAGCCAAAGCTGGTAAAAGGCACCCCTGGCCACTACTGCCACCTGTATATCCTCCAGGAGGCCCAGGTCCAGGAGTACCCCCAAGCTGAAAACCTGTTCCTTTAGGGGGAGTGCAACCATATAACCTATTTCTTGGGTCAGACATTCACCCCATACCGGTAGTACTTCTGTTTTGTCAGGATTAAGTTTCAGGTTGTTAACCCTCATCCATTCCAAATCTGTCTCCAGGCACCTGTTCACAGTTTCTACATCCTCCCTGGGATCTGCTGGTAGCATGAGACAGAGCTGTGTGTCATCTGCATATTGCTAGCAGCTCAGTCCACATCTCCAGATGACCTCTCCCAGTGACTTTACATAGAAGAAGAGAAGAGATTGGATTTATACCCCGTCCTTCACTACCCTGTCAGCTATGCTGCCATGGGGGTTGGGGAGTTCATTCTGTGTCTTGGTAATTGCTCTTGCATTCCTTTCTCTGTTGCTCTGCCTGTGCTGAAATGCTTATCGCTACAGATGTGCTGGAGGAGGATGTATTGTCTGGAAGTCTCATATGTACCGTGAGAGACTACTGCTTCCCAGCTTTCGCCACCTAACGATTTCCTAGCTGGTCCCGCGCGCGGGAGGGTAGCTAATTGGCCCATGCCATGGGGGGGTGCGTACAAATGCCCTATATCCTATTATGTTCAATGGGTTGCCGCCATTCTTAACAGTGCCTGTGTTACTGCATCTATAGCTTTGCAATAAAAGTATAACTGTTCCTGAATGCGTGTACTTAGTAGTTAGCTGTGCATTCTGACATTCTGTTAAGAATCCTCCATTCTCTATCTCTGCGCATCTCTCCATAACCGAGATGAACGACGGAGAGGAGAAACCGATTCCTGATAGGGACGACTCCCAGGGAGTCCTGGCTCCTGCCACGACCAGTGGGGGTACCCCAACGACCCAGTTGACGGTGCCAGTGACTACGACACCGCCGGTTACGGCAACTGGCGCGGGAGCCGTACCTAAGACGACATCGACTTTGGTGTTCCTGACCCCGACGGGGCTGAGGCAGCTGCCCAGCCGTGGATACAGACCAAGTTCCAGCTAGGGCCAGTTTCACCCGGACTCGACGGCGGAGACTTATATGCTCATGCAAGGGCCACTGAGAGACAGCCGGTTCAACCAGGGCTTTTCTACGGGGAGTGGCTTCCCCCCATTCGGGGCCCAGTTTGAACCATTGCCTGGGGCGTGGGTGACAGAGAGGAAGAAGCTGAGAAGTGGCCAGGTGTCTCCAGATGAGGGGCTGGAACTGGCCCAGAGGATGGAGGTGGCAGATCGGGAGAGAAGGCAGATGCAGCAGACGCTGGAGGAGGTCATCCAGGCGATCCCGCAGCTGGTGGTCCAAACCATCCGAGAGGAGAGGGATGCCCGACCAGTGGTCCCTGCAGGGTCACCAGTGGTCCCAGCAGGACCGCAGGCCCCACCTCAGCAGGTGCCCCAGTCAGGGGATGTCCCACAACCGGGGCCACCCGCAGTCCCAGCTCCAGCGCCATGTCCGGTCAGTCCGAGAGAACGGATGCCCCCACGCCCAAAAGACCTCATCAAAGCCACCTTCTATGGGAACCCAGAAGAACTCTTGTACTTCGTGGTCCAAGTGATGAAGTTTGTGGAGAGGTCAGGTCACCTGTTCCCTGATGACAGCAGCCACATGGAGGTGGTGGCAGCACGGCTCTGGGGACCACCGGCAGCTTTGTATGTGGGGTTGCACAATGCCCAGGGCCCAGAATTGACTAATCTGGATGCTTTTATGAGGGCGTTGCAAGCCCAATTTGAAGACCGGAACGCTGGGCCCAAAGTGAGGGCGTTCCTACGAACCCTTAAACAGGGTAGGCGATTGGTGAAGGAATACTCATCAGAGTTCAAGCTCCACGTGGCCAAAGTGCAATCTTGGCCGGATCCGGTGTTGGCGGAACTATACCGAGTGGGATTGAACCCGGAGATTAGAGAGACGGTCATGAGAGCAGTCAATCCGGTGTCCCTCCTAGCCTGGATGCAAGAGGCAGAGAGCGCAGAAACCCGCCTGCAAACCCTTCGGCTGGACATCGCGATGGCAGGGGGTCAGCCGACCCCTCAACCAACAAAAGGGAAAGCACCACGGCCAGTGGAGTCGAATCGGGAGCAGCGCATGAGGCAGGGGCTTTGCCTGAATTGTGGGGAGCGGGGCCACTTTGCGGCTGATTGCGGCAGATCGGGGCCCGTGAAACAGGGGCCCATTGAATCAACCCAAGTGCGACCCACCACACCAGCAAAGAAGGCGACTGGGAAGCCAAAATATGCCAAAGCGTTGCAAGCGGCTCCCGAGGAAGGGGAGGCAGAATCCAGCGGAGAGGACCCTGAGCCGGCGGGAAACGGATTGGTCCTGCTGTAAGAGGCGCGGAGCAGCAGGGCCCGATCCCAGAGGCGCCTAATGTGTTGAGCAGTTTCCCCCCCCTCTTTCTGGTAACTGTGACTTTGATATGCCTTGGCACGCATATAAGGATGAGAGCCCTAATTGACTCGGGGTGCGGGAGGGACCTTATCAACCCCTCCCTAGTTACGGGATTGGAGGCTAGGGTGGTGAAATTAAAAGACCCCCTGATATTCACCCAAATTGACGGCTCTGCAATGAAAGACTCGTGTGAGTATGAGACAGTGCTGTTGCGGATTGGGGCTGGGGAACACTGGGAGAATAGAGGATTCGTGATCACTTCAACCGCCAGGTTCCCCTTAGTCCTCGGGGCCCCATGGTTGCACGGACATGACCCATACATCTTGTGAGATGAAGGGAAAGTACAATTCATTTCTCCAAAGTGCCAGAGCCACTGGTGGGACCCGGACTGGGGCCCACCGCCCATCGTGGAGGGGCCTCGTGTGTGCCTGGCTCAGGAGGAGTTATTAACCATTCCCCCCGAGTATCGAGAATTGGCTAGAGGGTTTGAGGAGGAAGAAGCAGATGAGCTCCCTCCTCACCGACATTCAGACTGTAGCATTGAACTATTGCCGGGGCAGAAATTACCAAAGGGGCGCATTTATGCAATGGGACCGGCTGAAAAGGAAGAACTGCGTAAATTTATCGAGAAGGACTTAGCCAGAGGGTTCATCTGACCGGCTTCATCCCCCTTTGTGGCCCCAGTGTTATTCCGAAAGAAAAAGGATGGGGGGGGCCCCTAAGACTCTGCACGGATTACTGGGGCTTAAATGCAGTGTCGTCTACTAACGCCTATCCCA